ACCATGTTCGGGCAACTTTTTGAAATGGTTTCCGAGTATCTGCAATGGGACGCTTTTAGTATGAGAATTTCGGCTCAGCGATTACATTGTGCTTCCTCTGGCCTCGCTGGTCATTTCTCGCATTCCAGGACGTTGTTTGTGCAGGTATTGGGCCAGACATGCGGAGGGCCTTTAGGCGTGCCGTCCAGCACCACCGGGACCGAGACTCCCCTGCAGTCACGTTGGTTCACTCCTTCTTTCAGCTCATGTAGCTTCTCCACCGCCCCATCAAATTAATAGTACAGAATGATGTTTCACGAGATCCACGAGGAACGTGCGTGGTCCGTGATTTGGCTGCAGTAGCTTTCCACCTCCCTCTGTTTGCTCGTGTCAGACAGGGGTAGAGAAACTTGCCGAAGTATGGGGCAGGATATTTGAATGATTTGCATGCATCAATAGTGAAAGTATCAAGCTTTCATGACGAGCAGGGATGACCAAGTTGCACTTTTCCCTTCAGTCCGGACATGACCAACACAGCGACCAGAGCCCTTGTCTTTGTGTGAGTGCTGACCATCGCGCCCTGTGCTGTTTCAGAGGACCTGGAGGAGCTCACGAAGGCTGACTTCCAGCTGCAACAGACGCCCAGCAAATCCCTCAGCCCTCCGCGGTCTGGGCCGCAGAACTGCCAGGTACGTTGTCCACGCCACCTCGCCCTTTCCCTGCCTTCCCTTCATTCCAATTTTTTCCTTCTTCCTCTCTCCCTCCGCCCCCTTCACTCGTTCGTTTTTTCGTTCGTTTGTTGTTCTTGTTCGTTCGGCCATTCCTTCCTTCCCTCCTTCCTCTTTCCTTCCTTCCCTCCTTTCCTCTTTCCTTCCTTCCTTCCTCCCCTTCCTCCATTCCTCCCTCTTCTTTCTTCTTTCTCCCCCCCCATCTCCTTTTTTTCCTCCCCTTGCCATTCCCTCTCACCTTTTCTTTTTTTCTCTTTTTTTCCTTCCTCCCCTCCCCTCCTCTTGCTTCCTTGCTTCCTTCCTTCCTGCCTTCCTTCCTTTCATCCTTCCTTCCTTCCTCTTCCTTCCCCTCCTTCCCTCCTTCCTTCCTTCTCTCTTTCTTTCTTTCTTTCTTTCTTCCTTCCTTCCTCACTCCCTCTCTCTCTCTCTCCGTGCTGAAACGCAAAACGTTGTTTTTATCGTGATTTGCTGCTCCACAATTCTGCCTCCAAGAAGCTTTTTGGTAGCCCAATCTCTTAGCAAGCTGGCAATTATTGAATCAAAACAGGCAGTTTTCTCTGACACTCAGAATAACTCAGCCGACTTCAGGAGAAAGCTTAAGTTTGATGTAGGTTAGCTCCTTTGTCTGGATGATTGGCCCGCTTCCATCCGGGAATTGCATCATCGAAACTGTCCTTGTCGTGTCTTGCCGCCTACCAATTCGCCATAGCCGAGCGTCAAAAAGTTAGTCTGGCTAGTGAGTGCGGTAGACACTGGTAAGCAGTGCCAGAGCACCGTGAGCTCTGTGAGAGCGGTACCCACTAACAGTGAGCACACCACCGGAGCTCTTTGAGCTGGGTGAGCGCGGTGGGCGCTATGGCCATGTTACTGCTGGCGCGGTGTGTGCTTTCATCGCAGCGCTCTCAGCGAAGACAGTGAGCGTACTGACCGCGGCAGGCTTTGAAGCTGTGATGACCATGACGCCCGCTGTGAGCACGTTAACTGCAGTGACCCCAGTGACGGCAGCGACTGTGGTGAGCACGGTGGCCGCAGTGAACGACCTCTCCGCGGTGCGTCCCCGTCCTCCGGGACGCCATTTCACGCGGCGCGCCGCCGCCAAATGGCCCAGATTAGGGCAGCGACCGGCTCATTTTCGGCGGCAATCCGGCGCAGTAGAGCAGGGCTGAGGCGGTGATGGATGGCATGGCCGCAGCACGGCGACCTGAGAGAGGTCTGACCGCCGCGGGACGGTGACCTGAGAGAGGTCCGACCGCCGCGGGACGGTGACCTGAGAGAGGTCCGGCCGCCGCGGGACGGTGACCTGAGAGTGGTCCGACCGCCGCGGGACGGTGACCTGAGAGAGGTCCGACCGCCGCGGGACGGCGACCTGAGAGAGGTCCGACCGCAGCGGGACGGTGACCTGAGACACGTCAGACCGCCGCAGGACGGTGACCTGAGAGGTCCGACCGCAGCAGGACGGTGACCTGAGAGAGGTCCGACCGCAGCGGGACGTGACCTGAGAGAGGTCCGACCGCAGCGGGACGGTGACCTGAGAGAGGTCTGACCGCCGCGGGACGGTGACCTGAGACACGTCAGACCGCCGCAGGACGGTGACCTGAGAGAGGTCCGACCGCAGCGGGACGGTGACCTGAGAGAGGTCCGACCGCAGCGGGACGGTGACCTGAGAGAGGTCCGACCGTAGCGGGACGGTGACCTGGGAGAGGTCCGACCGCAGCGGGACGGTGACCTGAGAGAGGTCTGACCGCCGCGGGACAGTGACCTGAGAGAGGTCCGACTGCAGCGGGACGGTGACCTGAGAGAGGTCCGACCGCCGCGGGACGGTGACCTGAGAGAGGTCCGACCGCAGCGGGACGGTGACCTGAGAGAGGTCCGACCGCAGCAGGACGGTGACCTGAGAGAGGTCCGACCGCAGCGGGACGGTGACCTGAGAGAGGTCCGACCGCAGCGGGACGGTGACCTGAGAGGTCCGACCGCAGCGGGACAGTGACCTGAGAGAGATCCGACCGCCGCGGAATGATGACCCGAGAGAGGCACACCGCCGCGGGACGATAACCTGAGAGAAGTCCAACTGCCGCGCTGGCGCTACCGTGCGTCGCCCCGGACAGGCGCCATCTGGCGGCAACAGGACGGGAGCTGAGTGCCGACGTCAAGACAGATGCCCGATGAAAACCGACTGTCGACAGCTTTGTGCAGCGTGGCGAGCTCGTGACATGTGAAGAATACATAAAATAGATATGCGAGAGGTGTTACATGTATAGTTGGAACTGACATACCGTTCAGTTGTAAGATTGTTTATAGCACATCAATGGTTCAATGGCTCACCCTGGTTGAGACGAATATAATGAGCCTTGTGCCGCCCAATATGTCTCATTGTCTTAAATGCTCAATAATGATTTGCTAGCCTCTCCGTTGGTGTTTGCGCATTGGACATTTCGTATTCCAATTTGCTCTGATATTTTGCTTCATAATCGTATTTGTGCGAGCCTTTCGCATAGTGCCTGTTAGAGACCTCAGAACGCTATGCGTGTCAAAAGAGATAAGTGGTGCATATACAATTATTCTCTCAATTTACTGTCTTGAAAAGAGATCACTTTACATCACAACGCTTGAGTAGTTCAAGGCAGATCATGCCACACACATATGGTTAATTATGTTAAAGGCAACACGTTACGAGAATTCGACTGCGTCATCAGCGGCACCAGTGTGCCAGCGCGTGTCAGCGTTTCGAGACTCCGACTGCGTCATCAGTGGCACCAGTGTGCCAGAGCGTGTGTCAGCGTTACGAGAATCCCACCCAGTCATCAGCGGCACCAGCATGCCAGCGTGTGTCAGCGTTTCGAGACTCCGACTGCGTCATCAGTGGCACCAGTGTGCCAGCGTGTGTCAGCGTTACGAGAATCCCACCCAGTCATCAGCGGCACCAGCATGCCAGCGTGTGTCAGCGTTTCGAGACTCCGACTGCGTCATCAGCGGCACCAGTGTGCCAGCGTGTGTCAGTCAAGTGTACGAGACAAGCTCGTACTCACCCCGCATGTACTAGATGACATGCTCGCAACATAAAATTGTGCATATTATTTTTCCAGGGTAAAATTATCATCACAGGCACATTATTGAGGCGAGGTTATTTGTCTACCACTTCCGGCACATCGTGCGGGCATGCCACGCAGAGATGTGTGCCCTCGCGGTCCCCAAGATCGTGTGGTTGGCAGAAGCTGCAGCCCGGGAGCTCGCAGTCTCGACCGCCACCGGTCCTCTGGATCAGGCTGCTGATGAAGTGGCACGCCAATGGCACCCTAATCGACCCGTAATGCCCACACAACGTAACAAACGCCTTTGATATGAATGAAAATGGCCCCAGTGCATAGTTTTCGGTCATGGAGCCAACAAGCAATTAGTGACATTCACTACGGTGGAAGCCGCTGATTATTACCGGGCAAATTGTGATGCATAAAATGGGAAAATTTTAAAAGGCAAGTGTCAAATAAGATGTTATGTTAAAGTTGAGGAAACGATTTCCTTAAGTCTACTCAAATGGTGATTACATAATTACATACTGCGTGGGCTAGCTAAACTGAGGTCTGAAGTGAGCTGCGCTATGTTTATCTTAACACTTTTTTGACTAGTTGCATTATTATTAAGTTGCGCGCTCAGCACTATTTAGACGCTGAAGGGAAAAATCGATGCAGGAAAGCGTGTAACGTTTTTGGCATAATACATCCTTCCAAAAAGGAGGCATACGTGACCAGATATTTCCCCAAAATGGATAGCTTCTCTCACGGCACATGGATTATATTTGCATGCACCAGCTGTTACCTTTTTGCAAAGACAGTGCACTTGCGGATATACCTTATCTAACAAACACAAACGCTGTACATTACCTGACGCACTCTCGATTTGTTGTCCAACGATTCAGTGGCGGGCGCCACCGGTGTCTGTGGCACGAGTGTTTGAAACCCATCAATAATGGGAGACCGTGGCGTGGCGGGGTCCCACTGACGCTGCGAATTAGTAGCGCCCGGTGTGTGGCACGAGTGTTTGAAACCCATCAATAATGGGAGACCGTGGCGTGGCGGGGTCCCACTGACGCTGCGAATTAGTAGCGCCGCCGGTGTCAGCGGCACGAGTGTTTGAAACCCATCAATAATGGGGGACCGTGGCGCGGCGGGGTCCCACTGCCGCAGCGAATTAGTGCCGTTGCTAAGGGAAGCGTTGGAGGCTCAAGAATCGATGAATGCAAGCGCGGCTCGGGAACCGGTTGGGCGAGCTCTGATTTCACAAAAACATTGGACGGTTCCGAAATACGGAAGCAATGCCATTGGCGCTGCAGAACGGTAAAATGAAACTGGATGCGAGCAGGACATTTGCAAATGAAGATTGACAAATAATTGCCCTGCTGCGACTGAGAGAAAGACATTGCCTTCGTGTGTGGCCCTGTTGGCCCTACATTGGCCCTCATTATGGACGATCGGTCGTCGTGTTGATACGTGTATTGGTGCGACAGGACACTCACCTCTGAAACCTACCGGAATTGGTGTGTCACCTCACATTAGTACCCTCTCTGCCACCAAAGTATTTATCAAGAGTGAGTCGCGTAGCCGGGATGTCATTGCACACCTGGAAGAGAACGTCTATTGGAGCGGACTCTGTGCGATACATTCAAGCATTTCTTTTTCTCGCAAAAGACCGCTATTTCTTTTAGGTGAATTACGTTTAGTGCAGCGCACTGCGATTATGCGGTTCGAGGTTCATGAATATTCCGCGGCGAGGAACTGCTTATGGCGCGGAGTCTCCACGCCTTCGTAACGTAACTTCACTATGCATGCGGTCACTAAATATGTTGTTTGGTGTAGTATCCATTGGACAAAATTATGACGAACGATCTGGCTAAACGACAGTGCGAGATCGACCCAGAATGTTTTCACGGTCACGGCCGGGGAGCCATACCGGCAAGGCTGAAGCTC